GAAGGGCCGCCTGCAGCAAGTAAGGGGGGGGGCGGCACGCAGGGGAACTCCCCGCCCCAGCTCACCTCTGCTCCGCCTCCTCCCCTGAGCACGCCGCCCCGCTCTGCTTCTCTCCCTCCCAGGCTTGCGGCGCCAAACAGCTGATTGGCGCCGCAAGCCTGGGAGGCGGGAGAAGTGGAGCAGCGACGGCGTGCTCGGGAAGGAGTCAGAGCAGAGGTGAGCTGGGGTGGGGAGCTACCGCACAGCTCCCCGGGCGGGGATGGGGAGCTGCCATGGGGGAGGCGCCTCAGAGTGGGCGGGGTGGGGAGGTGCCACGGGGGAAGTGCTTCAGGGCGGAGAGGGGGTGGGGAGCTGCCGCAGGGCTCGGGGAGGGGGCGGAGCAGAGGTGAGCTGGGGTGGGGAGCTGCCACATGGCTCCCCGGGCCAGGGGCAGTGGGGAGCTGCCGTGGGGGGGGGGGGGGGGGGGGGGGGGGGGGGGAGCGGCCGCGGGGCGGGGGGGGGGGGGAGGGCGCAAGGTGGAAGTTTCCCCTAGGGTGCGAAACATCCTTGCACCGGCCCCGGTGGAGGTGGTTCACTGAGATACATTGCAGTGAATCACAGTAACACAAAACTGTTTCCGCTGAACATAGAGATGGCGAAAATGGAATTATTGAGTGCAGAGAAACATATTCCCCAAGAAAGTTTACCACTACAACTAGTATCAAGTTGATGCATTAGAAGGAGACACACAAAAATCCAAATTTAATGATGACCCTCTTTCCTGATTTCACATTGGTGGGGAGGAATAAAGCAAAACAAGATAGGAAAGGTGAATGAATTTACTCTCAACTATTCCGTATATACTCGATCATAAGCCGATTCGTTTATAAGCCGACCCCCTCCCTCCCCAAGATGGATAAGTAAAAATGGAAAATTTTAATGACCTGTTCATAAACCGACCCTATAATTCAGGGGTCAGCAAACTTTGGTTCCTGGGCCATGAGGATAAGCCACTAGTGGGCTGAGATGGTTTGTTTACCTCGAGTGTCTGCAGGCATGGAGGTAAACCCAAGTAAACAAAGTGTCCCGGCGTGCCAGCTGCTTACCCTGATGGGCCGGGATAGCAACTGGTGAGGAAATTTTTTGGGGGGGAGAAGCTGGGGGTCAGGGAAGTAACCCCTGTGACCACCTCCCACATGACCCCACCCCTAGCCCGGGACCCCCACACTCTCCCCATCCCATCCCTTCCCACCTTATCTGGGGAGGATGTCTCTGGCCTGGCTGGAGCTGCTCCGGCAGGAAGGGCAGCGCGGCCACAGCCTGCTCCGGCGCGCCAGACCGGGCAGCGCGGCCGCAGCATGTTCCAGCGGGCTGGGCAGCATGGCTGCAGCGTGCTCCGGCGCCCAGGCAGCACGGCCACAGCCTGCCAGCCCTGGAGCTGCAGCTGCTTCGGAGGCTGGTCTGGGGGTGGGACCGAGCAGCACGGCTGCAGCCTGCCAGCCCTGGAGCTGCAGCTGCTTTGGAGGCTGGGGGGAGAGCAGCGTGGCCAGAAGTGGAGAGACTCTGGCCCCACCTCTTCCCTTCTGGCTGTGCTGCCTCTCCTTGCTCCCTCTGTTGGGGGGAGGGCTTGTGTCCCACCTCTCCCTCTCTATACCCATTCATAAGCCGACTCACTTTTCTGGTGCTTCCCTTTTTTACTAAAAAAAATTCAGCTTATGAACGAGTATATACGGTACTTCCAATTTCTTCACATTGGCTGATGTTACTGGTTAATATAATATTAATTTAATGTCATGTATTCGTTAATGCTAAGTTTAAACTTACAGAATCATCATGGAAGTCTCTAAAAGTGTATGTTATTTACTCCGGAATCATATGAATATTAGTCTCAAGAAAGCACAGTATTTAGTTTGGGGAAAAACAACTCCACACATTTGCTCATTTCTCCCAAGTCATGCAGTCATGCCTAGAATATTCCCGCCCCCCCGCCCGCCCCGAAGATGGCAATGACTGACCCAGATGCTCCCGTCTCTCTGCATGTTTGGAAGTGAACAAACACCTGTGCAAATGGACAATGAGGACAAAGTGGAGGGGAGAAGCAGGGTTCCCCTGAACCCACATTAGCCCTTCTGCATGGAGTACTGGGTATCAGAGATTCCAGGCATAAAGGAGTAATGAGCACCCATAGGAAGGGACAGAGGGAAATTATTTATTATGAAACATGCTCCCCTTGGAAAGAGGTTTGAAGTCTGTGGCAATTGCTATCCAACAGCAGTGCTTCTCCGACGAATACTACCTCCCCAACTGAGCGCCAGATAATAATCTTAATCATATCGAATAGTATCTTACACCATGTACCTTACTTCTAGAACAAGGTACTATTCAATGTCAGTAAGGGTACCACAGTTAGGCACTGAGATATTAATTCCTTACAGAGAGAGCCAATGGAACATAATCATAGTACTGAAATCAGTGGTAGCGTAGCTCAATAACCAGTCTTGCTACCAGGAGAAGGGGTTGCTGGTGCAATGTGTGCAGGATTAGCTGTGGTGTGGTTGGGGCCAGGGATCCTGAAGATTTTGGACTGTCCTCCCTGCAGATTCCTGACCTGAGCAGCCCTATCCCTTGCAAATTTGCTGGGTTACAAATTGTGCCTTAAAATTAGGGCAACAAGGGAGATTAACCATAAAGTGATATTTGCAAGATATTTTGAGGGTATGGAAATAAACACTAAAATAATCTTACCTCTGCAAACCAAATATTTTGCTGCATAGTAATTCTGAGAAGAGAAACCATTCACCTAGTACACCGTATTTCAGCCCTTTCAAGAGAGATATGGCCAAATATGACCAAGGAATCAAAGGCAGTTTTGTCAAGTAAGGCCTACAGGATTGGGCCTTTGGTTTTTTACCCTACAGTAGGGTTACCATTCGTCCGGATTCCCCCGGACATGTCCGGCTTTTTAAGCTAAAAAT